AAGATAGTCTGTGCCAAGGAGAGATAATAAGTACCCACTGGGTTGAATTTAAAGCAAGCAGTATTTTGAATTGGGGAGGTTTATGTATTTGGAACCAAAACATCAATAAGCCAAATTGTATTTGCATATTTATGCAAGTTAAAAATATGCAGAGAACCTAAGTAATTTACTCATATACTACATTAGGAACTCTGTCCCAAAATCTGTTCAGAAAAAAATATTTTTAAATTGCCTTTTCTGCCACATCTATTATAAATTCTTAATTCAAGAGCTGCCATATGAAGTTGTAAATTAATTGGAATTGTGATAGCAAGTAGTCATTTGATAACATAGGTGTTATACACAGTACCTGACTAGACTAACATGCTTGTGTCACTAATGCAATCACAAAACAAGGATTCAAAAGTTATACAACACCTGTGTCAAATAAAACCATTGCATTTCTAACACATTAGATTTTGGTAGAACTCAATTTCTCTAATGTGAAAATGTCAGTTGATGTCTGATCTTGTTATCACTGTTAGTAAGAGGCCCTGTACATTTTTTCCTCCAAGCTGAAGCAGAAAAATCACTTCTGTGGCTTGTAAAATCAAGCATTTCACCATTTCCGTATGTCTAGGTATAAGTCAAGCCTAGGTAGAGTAGACTTATTAGATTTGGGTTTTTTTTTAAAGTGTGTTCTTAATTTAAAATAATGTTGTTAATGTTCCCATTATTCATTTCTATCACAGGGCATACAGTCTGGGCATTCCTAATAATTATTCTGTCTTTCTTGATAAATGAGTTCGTTTTAGCTATATACTATTTTATCACGTCTCTTTGTGGATTTTTCTGGTGGTTATATTGAGTAGAACTGTCTACAGTGTGTGCTTTTATTGCATACCATCAGCGGGTGTGCTAGGAAATGAGTGATCTCCGTTCAGATTCTCATTAGTCAACAGGTGACAAATGAGACACAACCCCCTTACCTGTTTTTATTTCCTGCTTTGTAAAGCTTTATTTACTGACTATTCTAATTATCTGACAAAAATATTTGCTAGGTCATTAGTTACATTGCTGTTTACGTTATTATAATTAAATTGCAAATTGCTTTACTTTAACTGAAATAGGGCCTTAATTAAGAACTGTACATAGCTTGATGTTTTCTGATAGTGAAAGATTATCCTGTATGAAGCATGTAGTGTGTATATTTTCAGAAAAGGTGATAGCCCCTCTATCGGGTTTCTTAATACTTTTGAGGTATACAGTGCTTAAATATTAGATTATATATACATTGACTATTCT